TCTATCTATCTATCTATCTATCTATCTATCTATCTATCTATCTATCTATCTATCTATCTATCTATCTATCTATCTATCTATCTATCTATCTATCTATCTATCTATCTATCTATCTATCTATCTATCTATCTATCTATCTATCTATCTATCTATCTATCTATCTATCTATCTATCTATCTATCTATCTATCTATCTATCTATCTATCTATCTATCTATCTATCTATCTATCTATCTATCTATCTATCTATCTATCTATCTATCTATCTATCTATCTATCTATCTATCTATCTATCTATCTATCTATCTATATCTATCTATCTATCTATCTATCTATCTATCTATCTATCTATCTATCTATCTATCTATCTATCTATCTATCTATCTATCTATCTATCTATCTATCTATCTATCTATCTATCTATCTATCTATCTATCTATCTATCTATCTATCTATCTATCTATCTATCTTCTATCTATCTATCTATCTATCTGTCTAATCTGTCTATCTGTCTAATCTGTCTGTCTGTCTGTCTGTCTGTCTGTCTGTCTGTCTGTCTGTCTGTCTGTCTGTCTGTCTGTCTGTCTGTCTGTCTGTCTGTCTGTCTGTCTGTCTGTCTGTCTGTCTGTCTGTCTGTCTGTCTGTCTGTCTGTCTGTCTGTCTGTCTGTCTGTCTGTCTGTCTGTCTGTCTGTCTGTCTGTCTGTCTGTCTGTCTGTCTGTCTGTCTGTCTGTCTGTCTGTCTGTCTGTCTGTCTGTCTGTCTGTCTGTCTGTCTGTCTGTCTGTCTGTCTGTCTGTCTGTCTGTCTGTCTGTCTGTCTGTCTGTCTGTCTGTCTGTCTGTCTGTCTGTCTGTCTGTCTGTCTGTCTGTCTGTCTGTCTGTCTGTCTGTCTGTCTGTCTGTCTGTCTGTCTGTCTGTCTGTCTGTCTGTCTGTCTGTCTGTCTGTCTGTCTGTCTGTCTGTCTGTCTGTCTGTCTGTCTGTCTGTCTGTCTGTCTGTCTGTCTGTCTGTCTGTCTATCTATCTTATCTATCTTATCTATCTTATCTATCTTATCTATCTTATCTGTCTTATCTGTCTGTCTGTCTGTCTGTCCCTCTGTCTGTCCCTCTGTCTGTCTGTCCGTCTGTCCGTCTGTCCTTCCGTCCGTCCGTCCGTCTGTCTGTCTGTCCGTCTGTCTGTCTGTCTGTCTGTCTGTCTGTCTGTCTGTCTGTCTGTCTGTCTGTCTGTCTGTCTGTCTGTCTGTCTGTCTGTCTGTCTGTCTTTCTGTCTGTCTGTCTCTCTGCCTGCCTGCCTGCCTGTTTATCTGTCGGACTGTCTGTCTATCTGTCGGGCTGTCCGCCTGTCTGCATGTATATCTGCCTGTCTCTCTATAAGTATGCCTGCCTGTCTGTCTGTCTATCTGTCGGGCTGCCTGTCTATCTGTCTGTCTGTCCAACTGTCTGCGCATCAATAATAAATGGTTATGAACTAATGAATAAATTATTATTATTATTATTTGCAGTTAAACAAGACTATGACCCTTCCACCTGACCCAAAATAATAACCGTTGGGGGAGGTGGGGGCGGTGTCCCCTGAGTCAGTGTTTTTTTCCGTCGCGGCACGCTTGGTGCCAGGATTAGATTACATCCCCCCAACGACATTAGAGCACTTGTAAATATAAAGGGCTCTTTGTTATGCTCAGCTAATTTTGTGTCATATTTTGAAGGACCAATTGGTGGCCGTCGTTATGTTGACCAAATCACCCGTTAACTTAATGGTACTATATTCTATCGTCCTTTTCAGGATGAAATTTTTTATTTCAAGCCCCACCTTGGCTTTTGCCGGGGGCCGCAATATAGGCAGGCCATAAATATGGCCAAATGTCTGAACGCGGTTTCTGGGACCTCTCCACGGCGATCCTCATCCGCATGGTGGCACTTTGTGTCATCGGGTGTTTATCGCTTGTGTGATGTCCTGGTGGGGTAGAAAGTCAGCCAGTCAGTCACCCGTTAACTGCCGATTGGTCCATAAAAATGTTTCTAGCCTAATGTGCCCATTGTTCTCCTGGCATAACAAGAGTCTTTTACTTTACATTTTTTTTTAATTAGTGAGTCTCAAACAGGAACAAACCACGGCTGTAAGAACTTTTGGTGCTTTATTAATATCCTTCCCCAAACAGGGAAAATTCACAGGTCACGGGACAGTCTAATATTTCAGGGGGTGGTAGATAGGTTGCATGCAGTCGTATGACCTAGGCTGCATGCAGTCGTGGGACCTAGGCTGCATTCTCTCGTGGAACGTATGTGGGTTGGGGTTAGGGCTAGTTCTAGATGTGTTAGGGTCGTTAATACAATCAGAAAGCCGGCAAACCCAGTCTTACTACCCTATAGAATGTTGGACAGTCCTGTGACGTCATTTGGAATGGGATAATAATAAAGCACCGAACTTTTTTAAAGGGGCCCCAATAACATAAGTCTGAGACTCCGCACGCAAACCATATGTGCTCAAATTAAAGGGAGATAATTAAATGCCACATCATTTGTTTTGGTGGCAGGGAAAAACAGCGTATGTTTTGCAGCCATAAGGGGAGGTAGTTAATTATACAACTGATGGTATGAGCAGGCTATTGAATAATGGGCTTTTTAGAATTCTTGTCTGTTAGCTTCACAACACAGTGGGCTTGCTGACCTTGGGGACAATTATTATACTTGGAATTTCCCATGATAACACAAAAAGTTGGACTAGAACGTGAGGATAATTTAGGGCACTTATGGGAATCTTCTGGTACTGTTTTTCCCACCATTTGCCTCTGTGAAGTATCTTTCCTCTCGCTCTCTCTCTCTCTCTCTCTCTCTCTCTCTCTCTCTCTCTCTCTCTCTGACTCTGTCTCTCTGTCTCTCTCTCTGACTCTCTCTGTATCTCTCTGACTCTCTCTGACTCTCTCTCTCTCTGACTCTCTCTCTGACTCTCTCTCTCTCTGACTCTCTCTCTCTCTCTCTCTCTCTCTCTCTGTGTGTGTGTGTGTGTGTGTGTGTGAATATACGCGAGCGTCGTAAGGGATTTTAGACAAGTCTTAGTGCCTTTTGCATTTCAAATGAAGTCTTTATTTGTCTAAAGTTGTTCTTGATGCCCTCCTACCATCATCTGTATGACCTGAGGAACTATGACCATAAATACGTTAAGAAACATTGATTACCACTAAAAGAATCTGCACCGATATCCCGCTTTATCCAAGTATTGGGGAGAATTGGCTCATAAACAGCGTACTATTCTGACAGCTGGGGTATTTTGGCCAGGTTGAAAGTCATGGAGGCGGCTGCGTGGTCTTGAGGCATTGTGTCTACTCCACTGCTAGAAGTTCCGGGTTCAATTCCCGGTAAGGGCTAGGATTTTTTCACGTGGACTTGGACTTCTAGTAATTCCCCCTGGTCGCTGGGTAATGGACGTCCGTGTGCATTGCTGCGCACGTAAAAAAAAAATCCCTTAGCAGTTGGAAATCGAAAAGAATAGCCTAAATGCGCTGCCCGGGCAACATTTGGAGTTAAAAATATACCCAAAGTATTTCAGGATCCTCGCCGGTGCTACAGAGCCTGTGAACTGTGCTGAGCTTTTTCAGACTCAGACCTGAGTTAGAAGAAAATCGGAGCACTTATGGGTTACTACCCGTGTGCCATGATGTTGATCCGTTGTTCACACTTATGGTTTACTACCCGTGTGCCATGATGTTGATCCGTTGTTCACACTTATGGGTTACTACCCGTGTGCCATGATGTTGATCCGTTGTTTACATTTATGGGTTACTACCCGTGTGCCATGATGTTGATCTGTTTTTCACACCTATGAGTTACAACCCGTGTGCCATGATGTTTATCCGTTGTTCACACTTATGGGTTACTACCCGTGTGCCATGATGTTGATTCGTTGTTCACATTTATGGGTTACTACCCGAGTGCCATAATGTTGATTCGTTGTTCACACTTAAGAGTTACTACCCGTGTGCCATGATGTTGATCCGTTGTTCACACTTATGGGTTACTACCCGTGTGCCATGATGTTGATCCGTTGTTCACATTTATGGGTTACTACCCGAGTGCCATAATGTTGGTTCGTTGTTCACACTTAAGAGTTACTACCCGTGTGCCATGATGTTGATCCGTTGTTCACACTTATGGGTTACTACCCGTGTGCCATAATGTTGATCCGTTGTTCAAAAAACATAAAAACCTCAAAAACCTGAAAGTCATGGTTGCCGAAAGAGAACTGTAATGGATGGTGAAGTTTCTGGAAAAGGATACAGAAGCAGACTTCCGCAAATGTAGATACAAGATATTGAACATGCAATGGCTTTGAAACTTTAAAGTAAAAGTAAAGTAAAGATCCATTTTTACTCTTTAGGCATCGGGTATGTGGGAAGAGCACCCTATATTATAACAGACCAATCAACACTAGGTGGGTAATGTGGTCAGCATTACGCCGGTCGTCTTTACTTCCCCAGGACATACATCCTGGTACTTTTAGGCTAGGTCGACCTGCGACGCCCCACACTATGATAAAAATCCACGCAGCCAGATGTGGGTTTCGATCGAGCTACGTTGGAATCATGAGTCATACTCGCAACGCCTAAGCCACGGACGCTGGACAGCGAAATATGCCAGGCGTAAATTATGCACTGGAAAATTTCGTGACGACTAGTAAAATCACTGGTAGAAGAGGCAGACCAAGAGAAACGTTGGTGGATGGCTTAAGACAGTAGCAGGAATATTATCAGTGGAATTGATCTTGAACAACAACGATCGAGATATGTGGCGATGCATGAACACCTACGCAAGCTGGCAAGGCACTTGATGATGATGATAAATTGTCCAATCTTATTTCTATGTCATCTCTGCTCAGATCATCGAATGTCCTAAACTGTTTGCGGACTTTCAGATTTACTCGTGAAAGGAAGATTTGCCTGCAAAAATGAGGTCATGTGGCGGACCTCGTCAAATCTCTACGATGTAAATCTGTAATGTAACCTAGAATTAATCAATTCTTTGTTGTTTTTTACAGGAGCTGCCGAGTCACCGGTGGACGAGCTGACCACTTTGTGCAGCCAGGAGAACATCTTCAGGTGTGAGAACGACCGTAACCAGTGTGTGCCGTCCAGCGTCAAGTGTGACGGCGTGGCCAACTGCGACAATGGCAGGGATGAAGCCGTGGATATATGTGGTAAGTTTATGTTTACTTTGTCTATCAGCAGGGCCTCTAGGATTTGGAGGCTCTAGGACCTGGGGCCTCTAGGACTAGGGGTCTCAAGGATTTTAGGCCTCTAGGACAAGAGGGTTCTAGGACTTGGGGTCTCTAGGACTTGAGGCCTCTAGGACAAGAGGGCTGTAGGACTTGTGGTCTCTAGTACTTGAGGCCACTGGAACTTGGGGGCTATAGGCCTTTGTGTCTCTAGTACCTGATGTCTCTAGGACAGGGCCTCTAGGACCTGGTGCCTCCAGGTCCTGGTGCCTCTAGGACTTGGGGCCTCTAAGACCTGGTGCCTCTAGGAACTGGTGACTTTAAGACTTCGTGCCTCAAGGACCAGGTACCTCTAGGACTTGGGGCCTCTAAGATTTGGGGCCTCTAGAACGTGGGACCTCTAGGACTTGGTGCCTCGCAGACCTTGAGCACCCACATCCACGCCCATATTTGTTGTCTTGCCAGGGGCTTGGCACCCTATCATATAACTGTTAATGGAACTGAGCAGACACGGCTGCCCCTTCTTTAGTAAATTTGCTAGGGGTTGAAGTAGTTCCCCCAACACACAAACGTTCTCTTATTAAGTGTTTGGTAACACATTTCCTGTTATTGTGACTTTATTATTATATTTGTTTTGTTTTGTTTTGTTTTGCCATTCAACACCTAATCAAGAGAACTATTATTCTTAATTGCCGGCGTAATGCTTACCACATTACCAACTAGTGCTGATTGGTCTGTAAAAATGTGAGTGCTTTTTCCATATGCCGGATACGCCTAAAGGCGTGAAAAGTGATTTTTTTTCCTTGTTATTCTTTATTAATTACAACGGAGTCGTTCTAGTGATCATTTAAAAAACAAATGCTTATAAAAGACACGCGGTTGGATAAAATTAAATCTGTAAGGATGTGTGAACGATGAATTAAATGTGGGTCCGGTATGTATGTGAGAAAGAGAAAGACTGCGCAGAACCAGTGTGCTACGGGAATCGAAGTAAGTTGTACCCTACTAGGATATCACACAGAGCGACAACCACCTAATGACACAAAATGCCACCATTCGGATGAAGATCGCCCGTGGAGAGTTCCCGGAAACCCTGTTCCACCTTGAGGTTATATTAGGATCCCGGCAACAGCCAGGGTGGGGCTTCTATGTAACGAAAAATTGCATCCCACATAAGGATGCGGAACATTATGAACGGGAACTGACTGACAGACTTTCTACCCAACCAGGACATCACACAAGCGATAAACACCCGATGACACAATGTGCCACCATATTTAAGGCCAGGCTATATTGCGGCCCCTGTCAAGAGCCAGAGTAGGGCTTCAAATAACGAAAAATTGCATCCTGAAAAAGACGGCAATAATATATTTTTTAATGTACGGGAACCGACTGACTGGTTGACTTTCTACCCCGCCAGGACATCACACAAGCGATAAACACCCGATGACACAAAGTGCCACCATGTGAATGAGGATCGCCGTGGAGAGGTCCCAGAAACCGCGTTCAGACTCTAGGCCATATATATGACCAGGCTATATTGCGACCCTTGGCAAGAGCCAGGGTGGGCTTCAAATAACAAAAAAATGTCATCCTTAAAAGGACTGCAAGTACAATACGGGAACCGACTGACTGACTAACTTGCCACCCCACCAGGACACCACACAAGCGACAAACACCCGATGACACAAAGTGCCACCATGTGGATGAGGTTCGCCGTGGAGGTGTCCCGGAAACCGCGTTCAGACAATCGGCCATATTTATAGCCTGCCTATATTGCGACCCCTGGCATAAGCCAGGGTGGTGCTTCAAATAACAAAAAATGTCATGCTAGAAAGGACGAAACTGGATTACAACTAATAACGGGAACCGACTGACTGACTGACTTTCTACCCCACTAGGACATCACACAAGCGATAAACACCCGATGACACAAAGGGTCACCATGTGGATGAGGATCGCCGTGGAGAGGTCCCAGAAACCGCGTTTAGACAATTGGCCATATTTATTGCCTGCCTATATTGCGGCACTTGGCAAAAGCCACGGTGGGGGCTTCAAATAACACAAAATTACGTCCTAAAAAGGACGTAAGGAATGATAAAAACGGGAACAGTTAGCAACTACATCTTATAAAACATGTGCTGCCAGAATGGTGTGACCGGTGTGCTGTGATGTCGATTCTTAAATCAGTAAATGGGTAACGTTGACGCCAACCTGACATAACCTACAGTCACTTGTGGGTAAAGATGATATATTTGTTGTGCTAGATTTTCCTTGCGGACCCGCTCTCTAACTACTGCGCCACGACGGCATCAAAAATTATATTCATTGTGATAGTAGTAGTAGTAGTAGTAGTAGTAGTAGTAGTAGTAGTAGTAGTAGTAGTATAGTAGTAGTAGTAGTAGTAGTAGTAGTAGTAGTAGTAGTAGTAGTAGTAGTAGTAGTAGTAGTAGTAGTAGTAGTAGTAGCAGCAGTAGTAGTAGTAGTAGTAGTAGTAGTAGTAGTAGTAGTAGCAGTAGTAGTAGTAGTAGTAGCAGTAGTAGTAGTAGTAGTAGTAGTAGTAGTAGTAGTAGTAGTAGTAGTAGTAGTAGTAGCAGCAGTAGCAGTAGTAGTAGTAGTAGTAGTAGTAGTAGTAGCAGCAGTAGCAGTAGTAGTAGTAGTAGTAGTAGTAGTAGTAGTAGCAGTAGCAGTAGTAGTAGTAGTAGTAGTAGTAGTAGTAGCAGTAGTAGTAGTAGTAGTAGTAGTAGTAGTAGTAGTAGTAGTAGTAGTAGTAGTAGCAGTAGTAGTAGTATAGTAGTAGTAGTAGCAGTAGTAGTAGTAGTAGTAGTAGTAGTAGTAGTAGTAGTAGTAGTAGTAGTAGTAGTAGTAGTAGCAGCAGCAGTAGCAGCAGCAGCAGCAGCAGCAGCAGCAGCAACAATAGCAGAGGAAGAATCAGAAGCGGTACTGGGACAAAGTAATGTTGCGTGATAAGGCAGCCAACAGCTCACAGAAGCCAGCTTCAGGCCTCAGAAATGAGATATCTAAGAAAGATGGTCCAAGGGACAGGAAGGGACAAAGTTGGCAGTCAGACAATACGTCAGGATCTTGAAATTCAGGACTTACAAACTCTATGGCAGCAGTCACAGTTACCATGCTATGAACCTCTATGCAGAATGGGAGACAATCGGCCACCATTGCAGGCAAGAGAGGCTAAGAACCAGGGAACCAGACCTCCAGGATGACCCAGGGTTCCCTGGAAATACAACATCCGACAGTCAGTGACTGACCGAGCACTGGAGTAGGACAAGGCCGGAAAAAAAACTACAGACAGAGAAGTCTGGCGATCTCTCTGGCAAACCTCTACACTCCAAGGTGGAATAGGAGCGACTAAGCAAGTAGGCAGGTAACACAGCGTGCCAACACACGTTCACTACATTGTTTTGTCCACCTATTATTGAGTTTATTATCTCGTCTCTAATACACGAAATCACATCCCTTGTAAATTATTGGAAGCTTTATTATAAACAAAATCAAATACAAATATAATGTTTAACATTTTTAATCTAAGCAGATTAATTTAATATTTGCAGACCAGTGGTCTCAAACAGCGGGAGGTGAGGATGGAAAAAGGGGGGGGGGGGGGGGGGGGGGGGGGGGGGGGGGGGGGGCCTCCAGCAGTTTTAAACATGAGTATATTTTCACTTGAAATGTCCGGATTTTCAGTTTTAACAGTGACGAAAATAAACAGCGTTGCCATCTAGATGTGGAAAATGATTTCCGTCGTGCCATATCTAGTATCAGACAAAAATATATAGACGATATCGTCAAGACAAAACAGTGTCGACCTTCACAGTGATATTTCCACACTAAATTGTCAGTTGTTGTTGGTGGTAGTTTCTTTTGTTATTTGGCTCTTTGGATTATATGCGTGTTTTTCTCCCAGCTTTTGTTCACTGTACTTTGGGATTTTTCTGTCTGTAGTCCTCTTTTAATTCACACTATGTTGGGTGGAGAGGATGAAGGGTGGTGGTAGGGGCGGGGTTGGGGGAAGGGGAACGAGGATCTGTCTATATACTCAAGAGGCACGGGTGGGTCCTCCCCCCCCCCACCCCACCCACCCTCTGAAAAATGTTTGGAAACTGTTGGAAAAGAATGTGTAAGTGGGTTGGGGGATGGTCGGGGGTGTGGGGGGGGGGGGGAGGGCAGGTCAGAATTATAGCTTATCCAAACTCCAGGAATTTTTAAGAACCACTGTCTTAGAAGAATACTAAATCTCCACTGAACAGATTTCAGATCCAATACGCAAATAAGACAAGAGACCAAGCAAGACAATGTATCCAGTTATAAAAGAAAACACTGCTGGAATTACATCGACCATGCACTCAGAATAAATAAGACAATACTCCCGCATCATGCCCTCCTAGGGACACTGGAAGGGAAAAAGAAAACAGGGAAGACCAAGAGAGACCCTGTAAAGAACCATCACCAGGGAAGGCTCGGACATGGACCTAATAAACATCCTATACCTGAAACAGGTGGCAATGAACCGCCAGACATGGAGAGCTATGAGCTCTGCCCTATGCGCCGCCCTAGGCTCAAGAGGGAAGCCCAATTAACACTGCAGATATTTTACAGCAGCCCGCAGATACTCACTTTCATTATTCTACAATGTTTTGCTTTGAGGGGATATGAAAAGGTTTAAGTCAAGAAGATCAACTTCATTGTCCCGGTTTTTTTTTTTCTATATAGATCAGTCTCTCTTCGCAGACCAGCAAGCCGCCTGCCGAAAGCGACGCACAAAGCACGAATACCATATATCCGGTGACAATCACCGGGGTCTCCAAAAAAACTGCAAGCGTCAACGTCATGCCATAGTCATGAAAAGAACCAACGACCTTAACAGCGCGAAGCAAACGGTTTGCCAATTCGCCATGAAGAATCCTCTTGAAAAGATACAACAGTAATGTATAGGCTTGTATTTAATTTAAGTTGATATGGCAACAGCTGTTGTTATGGCAACAGCTGTGATGTTTCCCCCAGCAGAATACGATGTGGAAGAGCAAAAAAAAAAGCATTATAGTAAAAGTCAATGTATACAAATCACAGGTATAGTTTATTCTATTATACGCTTAAGAGAGTTGGAATCTCACTGTGGAAATGGAATTGATGATTAAGAATTTTTAACTTAAATGCATTTAGCTAATTTTACGAATTAGTTTTTTTAAACATAAAACAAACAAATATATCAGAGACAAAACAAGCAAATTTACAAGACATCAGGATTCTCTTCTTTGAAGACTGAGTGGGATTCGACGACTCACATTCATCAGTTGCCATGGGAAAGATGCAAGATCTCAAATTGTTTTACTTAAACTTGTTTCCATATGCGATGCCAAAGGTTCTTCAAACTGTTTAGCACCTACATTGCTAAAGCAGGTCTTTTTCTGGCTTTCTTTTGTGCAGTCGCCATTGCTATTCATTAGTGAGCCTGAATATTCAAAACATGTGACAGAATTCTACATTATAATTGTAAACGAATTAGGGTTACAACACCTACTCCTTTTTAAAGAAATGGTTATATGGATTTACTTAAATTCCCTTAAGATGGTAACCACTGTTATATGGTATTGCAGTAGAAGCAAAACTATCAAGACTGAACAATTTTTAAAAAAATGTACATAGCTTTTTTTTAACTAAAAGTTCTTCCGCCTTGAACAATTGAAAAAAGTACATAGCTGTTCTACTAAAAGCTATTCACTCTTAAAAAATTGGAAACAAAAAAGTACATAGCTTTTCGACTAAAAGCTCTTTCCTTCTTAAACAATTGGAAAAATGTACATAGCTGTTCTACTAAAAGCTCTTTCCTTCTTGAGCAATTGAAAAAAAAAAAGTACATAGCTGTTCTACTAAAAGCTTTTTCCTTGAACAATTCCGAAAAAAGTACATTGCTGTTCTACTAAATACTCTTTCCTTCTTGAACAATTGGAAAAAGTACATAGCTGTTCTACTAAAAGCTCTTTCCTTTTTGAACAATTGGAAAAATTACATAGCTGTTCAACTAAAAGCTCTTTCCTTCTTGAATAGTTGGAAAAAAAGTACATAGCTGTTCTACTAAAAGCTTTTTCCTTGAACAATTCCGAAAAAAGTACATTGCTGTTCTACTAAATACTCTTTCCTTCTTGAACAATTGGAAAAAGTACATAGCTGTTCTACTAAAAGCTCTTTCCTTTCTGAACAATTGGAAAAATTACATAGCTGTTTAACTAAAAGCTCTTTCCTTCTTGAATAGTTGGAAAAAAAGTACATAGCTGTTCTACTAAAAGCTTTTTCCTTGAAGAATTCCGAAAAAAGTGCATTGCTGTTCTACTAAATACTCTTTCCTTCTTGAACAATTGGAAAAAGTACATAGCTGTTCTACTAAAAGCTCTTTCCTTGTTGAATATTTGGAAAAATTACATAGCTGTTCAACGAAATACTCTTTCCTTCTTGAACAATTGGAAAAAGTACATAGCTGTTCTACTTAAAGCTTTCTCCTTCTTGAACATTTCGAAAAATAGTACAGCCTGATACAGCCGAATCTCTGTATCATAGCATTTAAACATCCACACTGGTAGAATAGGGTTGGAATGACTTTGTATGAGATGTCTCTTTGTGCTGTCTCTTTATGCTTTAAAAAAGAGGGGGAAGGGGTGGGGGGCTAGCTGTCCCGATATTTGGCGAGTTTCAGTGCATCTTAAGTCAATTTCTTAGTCCAATTTATCATCTTCAGTGAAAGTTGTTCCAAGATATTTAAACTCGGATGCCTGTTTAATATATGTATGCTCTAATGCTATGTTTAAATCCCGCTTCTTTCGTCCTATTGGCGTTACTTCTGCCTTTTCTATGTTGATTCTCAGTTTATTTGATTTACATTCTTCTTTCATGGCTGTGGGATGCTGTTGCAAATTCATGGCTGTATCTGCAATCAAGGCCTGATCATCTGCAGAGAGTAGTTCGTTGACGTTACTATTATTTTCTTTCCTTAGATCCTAAAGCTACTAAAGATGAACTGTCAGCCAGACAGTCAGTTGGGCAAACAGACAGACAGACAAATAAACAGATTGATTATTGTCTGTCTCGGCTTTGCTTCCTGTTTTCAATGAGCCAAGTTTTTATAGCTTGTTTACATTTCTTCCTCAATCTCCGGTTTAATTTTGTCTTTCTTTTGTCAGATGTCAGTTTCTGAAGCCATCCGTATTTCATTCTGTTTGTTTCCAAGATTCAGAATATGTTTTGCATGGACATCTCCATCCACTGATTGAATCCTATTCGTGTTTATTTTTAAGATGTGAGACTATCAGTCATTTCGCGTCTGAGTCCGCAAGCATGTGTATCAACGAGTGTGTGTGAGCGCATGTGTATCGGGGCATAAACAAGGGGAATGCGCGCGAAAAACAAATATCACTGTGCACCTGTGGACATAAAATAGATATAAAGGAACATTGTACTTATCTGTCTGTCTGTCTGTCTGTCTGTCTGTCTGTCTGTCTGTCTGTCTGTCTGTCTGTCTGTCTGTCTGTCTGTCTGTCTGTCTGTCTGTCCGTCCGTCCGTCCGTCCGTCCGTCCGTCCGTCCGTCCGTCCGTCCGTCCGTCCGTCCGTCCGTCCGTCCGTCCGTCCGTCCGTCTGGCTGGCTGGCTGGCTGGCTATCTGTCTGTTTTATATGAAAGCTTATGTTAAATAATGCAATCATCAATCAAGCACGTTCTTTACACAACGTCGCTCTCGTCAAGCTACGCCTAAAAGTCTTTCTATAGCCATTTCTCCAGCCCTGTATGCTTTCACAGCCAGTGCATCTTTAGTGTCTTGTATTCACCTTCGCCGAGGTCTGGCTCTGCCTCATTGTCTGAAAACTGTACATGTTGCAACACATTTTGGTAAAAGGTGTTTTTATTGTTTTCTTCCCCAGGTTGTCTGCCCACAGAGTTCCAGTGCAACATGACTACGTGTATCAACATCGTGCAGCGGTGCGACACTCGGGTTGACTGTGACAACGGAAGTGACGAAATGCATTGCGGTAGGTACCGACTTGTCTGTTGTTTGAGTTGAGTGGTGGCTGACCATGTGGTTAACACGCCAGGCTCACGTGCTGAAAACGTGGGTTCGATCTTCGGTAGGAAAAGAATGTGTGTCGTTGCAACAAATCTTCACCTACATGGTACGTTGTGACTGTACTAGCTTTGCAGCAACCTCCTCCTCCATTTTTTTTTTTTTTGGCCTCCTCCTGCTTGTACTTGTTCTTCTTGTTCTTGTTCTTCTTGTTCTTGTTCTTCTTGTTCTTGTTCTTGTTCTTCTTCTTTTTCTTTTTCTTCTTCTTCTTCTTCTTCTTGTTCTTCTTCTTCTTCTTCTTCTTCTTCTTCTTCTTCTTCTTCTTCTTCTTCTTCTTCTTCTTCTTCTTCTTCTTCTTCTTCTTCTTCTTCTTCACTTCCTCTTTTACCGCTGTGGGTGTCGAAACTGGTTGTTACTAAAACTAGAACCTCATTCCCCAGTGTATAATCTGTAAATTTAACGAAACAATTATGTATTGCTAAAGTGTCGTCTGTACTTCTATAGATCTTTTGTTCTGGCGAACACTTTTATTCCGTCAGTGTCACGGAAATTCGCTGAGTTTAACGGCGACCTTTCTTAATCAGGTACCGCCAGACACTTTCACAATGATCGGCTTCAACACAAATCATGATTTATTCATTAATAGCACGTTAATTTTATTTCCATGATTTACTTTGAAATTAAGCTAGCAGAATTATGTTTAACAGATTAGAATTCATTGGTGACCTATAGCAGACTGCGTAAAGAATAATTGCTGCGTTCAATTTATATAATGTGTAACGTTTTGTTTTGTTAGCTGGGTTGTTTAATTGAACATTTTTATCTGCGCTGTTGAATGTAAAAAATTTTGCTGTGTGGATGTTTAAATGCAGGGCCGTGTCGTGCTATGATACAGAGATTCGGCCGCATCAGGCTGCACCGTAAGGGGCGGCATAAACAGTGAGATCAAAATACAGTTTGAGCTTTTAAGGGGCGGTATTTTGAAGATTTGATTTGATTCAAGAACCGACATCACAGCACTCGGGGCATTCCCATAAGCACTCCGTCCCCATCTTCAGCAGCCAGCGAAGAGTTCCGATACTAATGGTGCCAGTAGCTTCCTGATTAAACGCCCGTCTTGCCTTTCCTCTGAGCCTTGAGCTTCTGCCAGAACCTCTCGTCACCTCCAACTGCATCAATCTCACCAGACTGGTGATCCATCTGCTCCTCTGAACTGTACACGCTCTCCCACAAAGCACTAACCACGTCTGCCCTATCATGTAGCAGTATTCCACCAAGTTGTGCAGAGCCAGCCAGTCTGTCCACCTGTTCATTTCCAAACACACCGGCTTGACCCGGTGAAAAAATCCAGACAATACTCCTCACTCGTGTCCTCCGCAGCGAATCATGCCACTCTGCACGAAGCATACCTGTTCTGATCTTCCTCAGCATGCTTTCTGAATCAGTTACAATTACAATGTGTGTGTGTGACGTGTTCTCTAGCCAGCGTAAAGCTGCAGTGACCGCCTCCACCTCCATTCTTAAGCTGGATGTTGTGGTATCATATGCTAGGCTCTCCTGCACCAAACGTCGACCATTAACGTTTGCTAAAAAGCCCCAAGCACTTCTTTTGCCTCTTGACACTGAACCGTCTGTGTCAATTATCGAATCCTCTGAGCGAGCATGATCTTGAATTAATTGCTGAATTTCCACCTCTGTGGCACCTGCTGGCCAGTCTCTGCATTCCCGGCTCAGCGTGATACAGACTCTACACAAGTCAGACTGCTCAGGTCGCACTTTGACCCACTCCTCTCCTCGCCTAATGTTCTCAAGGATGCAAACTTGTCTGATTGTGTCTTCTGCCTGAGCCATCCATGACCTCGCTCTTATCAGCCGCTGACCCTTAACTGCACCCAGAGCATCATGCAGAGGGTGGTCTGTGTCTGCAGCTACCCTGAGATATGACTTCGCCTGCATCACCTTGTGCCTACCTGCAACCGTCAGCAAACCAAGGATGTATCTCATACACACCACTGGGGTATCTCTGGTGCAACCCAGAATGACTCGCATAGCCGCGTTCTGTATGCGCTCTAGTTTGTCCATCTGACTCTTTGAGACGGTAAGCAGTCCCAGACCATAATCCACCACTGACAGGATCAGGTGCCTAAATAGTTTGAAAAACATTCTCTGCTCTATGTCAATTGCAGCCATAGTCTTAAGTGCACTAAATCCTTTTTGGCATCTCATCACAACACTCTCCACATGGTCCTTAAATGACAGGCTCCTGTCAAATGTAATTCCCAGATATTTCAGTTTGCTCTCTCTGTTGACGTCTCTACCATCTATCGTGAGATTGGGACAATAGTTTTAACGATTCTGTTGTCCAGAGAACACCACAAAACAGACGCCTTTTCCGGGTGAACGACAGCCTTCATTTCTGTACACCACTCAGTCACTTTGTCTACTGTCGCTTGTAGCTCCCGAACTGTTTGTTCCCTCTCTTCCCCTGCCTATATGCAAGTATATCATCCGCAAAAGTCAGTATCCTTCCAACTCGTGGTGCTTCTAGGCTTGCAATCTTGCTCGTATACACGTTGAAGAGCACAGGCGAGATGGCGGATCCCTGTGGCAGTCCTGGGGCCAAAGTGCATGGTTTAGAGGTCCGTGAGCCCAGTCGGAGAGCAACCCGACGTGAATACAGGATAACTGCAACCCAATTCACCAGCCATGGATTGACCTCCTTCTCCCTCAGTGCAATCATTAAGATGTCGTATCTCACTCTGTTATAAGCATCCTCGAGATCTAGTCCTACCGCCATAGTTTCCTGTCTGTTCTGGAACCCTTCATTGACATCAAAAGCAAAAGTGGTCGCATTTGCCCAAGTGTCCTTTCCTGGCCTGTAACTTCCCAGACCTCTTGGGAGAAGCTTCCCCCTTTCCAAAAATTCTTGTAGCTTTACAGCAACTATCTTCTCCAAGACCTTCCCAAATGTGTTTTGTAAGGTGATGATTCTAAAGCCACTAAGCTTAGAATGATCTTTAAAAGGTTTTGGTAGTGGTATTATATAGTTGTGCACCCAGTCTTGCGGTACTGATGCTGTCTTAATACTCTGGTTAAAACAGTCGGCCATCTCTGCCAGGTCTACATCGCTCAAAGCCTTCATGTGACCATACCTGACACCATCAGGCCCTGGTGCAGTGTCTTTTGCTTTTTTCAAAATTTGTTTGATATCTTCCCTTGTATCATGTCTTCATAATGCATATTCTTCAAGGTGACAGCTAACTCCTTTCTAACCGCATCCCTGATGTCTACATCATTATGATTTGTCAGAGCTATAAACCTATGGAGAAGACTTGTATCATACTGAGGGGGAAAAAAAACATATACTTCACGTCGGTGGAATGTTAAATATCGCATGTTGTCTACACCATAAAGGTTGGCTTCAGTGTACTCTCTGCTGTCTTCTTGAGAGTAATACCTGGGGAGATCCTAGTCTCTTCCACAGTGCAACTCTCGTCTCCAAGTCGGAAAAACATAGAAGCGGTTTTTAAATAAACCATCTGTCGCGAAAAACGAACTATTGTCTCAGTCAAGGTTTCAACTTCACTGAAATCGGGGTTTCCCCATAGTTGCTCCGTTCATGTGCCAGAGAAAATCAAATAAAATGTCCTACACTGTCTCTTTGAAAAATTGGTGAACGAACAATGAGTCCCGGAACAGTCCAGAAATATGCCCACGCTGTAAATGCATATGGCTAGAGGCGCCAAAGCCAATAGTCGCCACCAGAAATGCAATGAGTCGTTGATGGAAGTAGTCAGACGCAATAAATTGGCTATACACACGTGAAAATGTCACATATAGTATTTCACTAACTCACTCGTAACTGACTACCGGCCATATTGAATGCCACGAATCAAATGCTGTACAATTGAAAGGCATTTCACTTGAAAAAACACAGCTCACAGGGCTGCACCAAGCACTGCGAACAAAGTTAAGCTAATGAATGCTGTGAAAATAACCTAAGTCACAGTTATAACCAAATGCTCCCCCTTTGGGAATGCTGTTTGAACGTGGCGAATTCAGGCAGTGACATCCTATAGTCCACCCAATGCGGAAGCTGCATTAGCAAAGCGCTGTCGGAAGCAAAAATAACTTGCAAGCTTAACATTCTGCCATTCCTACCTCCATTTTAGATCCGAAGTCGAAAAATCGAACCATAGCACTCGAGAATCATACCATTGTTAACTCTTTCAATCCCAAGGACTCGCAGCAAATGCCAAAGTGAGTGAATGACAACTAGGAAAAGTCACTGGCTTGAGCATCAACAGTACACACAAATCGTAAATATAACTGACTCACACAGTATGTTGAGAAAGGTGGAGACCAGTGTGTTTCATGAAGGGTAGCAAACATCGCTTCAGAGGTCCCGGGTAGTTAGCGTCTTTTGAATATTTTCCCCATGTATATCTCGGTGGGTCAGGAAATAAACTGGCAGATTGACTGGCTGGTCCGGCACAACTTGGGAGTCAACTTATGCATGAAAAGCTGTTGTAAGGGCTATTTGGAGGTGAGTGAACAATGCCGAAGCACGGATGGATCATCACGGTCTGATGGCAATGCCGGTGGGAGGAGTTCCTAGAGGATCTACTCAACGAGCAGCACTCAAGGGAAATGTGAGACGGATATACAATCAGACTGCTACTGGCACCATTAGAATTGGAACTCTGCGCTTGGGCTGTCTGGTTTTGTTTTTATATACAGTTGCTAAGGCTAAATGAAAACTAGATTTAACTGTTTAACACAATATTCTTACCAACGCTCTGCTATCTGTGTAAAACATGGACACTGTCTTCAGAAAAAAGAGGGAAAATAATCACAAAAGAAAATAAATGATTACTTACATTGCTATGTGTAACGAGGAAATATCGACTTCGGAACGATGATATCAGCAGGAGAATCGGCTGATAACCAATACTGAACTTTATAGGT